AAGCACATTTGTAACTATTTGCTTGGGCACCATTATCATGGATAGCAACCATCGTCAAGACAAGACGTGGCTGCAAACCAAGAGTAGGCTGCATGTTGATCTGGAAGACACAGAAGGAAAAACAGCTTATGGCGAGTATGGCATGTTTGCTTAAAAGTACCATCAAGGGCTTGGGTCTTATTCAGGTTTGCCTGATAAAGAAATGCTATCATTTGTCAGTCTCTAGATTTATTTCAGCTTGGAGCTGAATTATAAATGCATTTGACTGGATCTTACTATGATCTAGTTGAGAAAAGACACAGATGACATGAGCATCAAGAACTTTTCCTTACATTTTACACTTCAAACAGTTAGTGGGTGTAACAGACCATAGAAGGCATCAAAATAGGAACCTTAGGGACAAAATCGGCTGCACCTTGTGCACCGCTTTTTTGGCATTACTCTTTTTTTATGTTTTCTATGATCTATTGCCTGTCCAGTACACTGAATTGAAATTCACTGGTCAGCCTCCCAAAGAGTATTGACAGTCAGAGTTCAGTGGCAGCTATGTTTTGGTTTCCTCGCAGATCCAGGTCCTCTATCTCCAGATCCATCCCTTGCAGATAAAAACAAGTATTTCATTTGTTACCTTTCACCATGTAATGGCTGCTGTTAAGCTGTAATGTGCACCCTTTTTTATTTGTTTCATTATGTGTTATTTGAACAATTCATATATGAATGTGTGTAACAATAGGCATAATTGTAATTAAGAAATGGTTAGCGTGTAGTGAGTTATGGATGTGTGGTGTTATAATATTGTAATTTTCACGCCCTGTGTTGAATTTCATTTGCACGTGCTGCTAGACTCATTATATATTCAGTTTCGTTTGTACCTTCGAGGCACTTGATAGAGATTAAATGTCTGTTCAGTAACCGCTTGAACATGTGGATCGCTGTGTTATTACATATGGGAGGCAGCTAAGCAAGAGAGAAGCATAAGAGTCACAAGAGGTGATAGCAAAGTGTGACTCTAGCTTCTTAAGTGCTTTCATAACTCAATGGTTGCACGCTGCATGTTAACCATTTCTTTTATAACATTGAGACTGTCAAACATTTTTTGTTTCTTGAAAACAAAAGAGGAAAACAAACTGAAGTTAGCATGCAACCCACAGCATCAAGTGTATTTTGTAAAGCTATGTTCCAATCATTTTACTGTTGTCTTCCAGATGCACAGCCTGTTCAGGACACTGAACCAGCATAGTATCATTCCTTTTATTTTAAGTGTAAAAAGTTAAGGAGAGAGT